AAGATGAATCAAATAAATGTTTGATTTCTCTTTTTTCTCTTAAATTTCATTGACAAGACTAATTTTTATCTTGATTTGTCTTTTATTGATAAAGCTTAGTTTAAAAAAAAGTAATTTAAGTCTTGATTTAGTCATGTTAATCAGGGTTTTTGTTAAGATTTCTTTAACAAAAATCCTAAGAAAAAAAGGACTTTAACTATTGTAAATTAATTGTAAAGGTGCTGAATTTATTTAAGAATCAATTAAGAAAAATTAAAATGTTTTTAAAGATAATTACTACTCACTTAAAAGGGAAGAACAACTATTTTTTATAAGATAAAACTAACTAGCTAATGTATTTCTTAATCAATATATTATCAAAATTAATTTAAAAGGCTTCAACATTTTAATATATTATTTATATTGACTAGATTCAATTAGAATTAAAAAATCTGGAATTTAAAACTTATAAATCTTTTTTATTTAGAGCATATTCTAAATTTGTACTAACTAATCATTCTATGTAATAATTACGTAAGTTCTCTTAGAAATTAATGAATATGAATAATTTGATTAACTTTAGAAGTATAAATAAAGCATTGAACCTGACAAACAATGTATATTATTTAATATTATTAAATAAGATGAAATTGTAATTTCTATATAAAATGAATTTGAAAACTAAATAAACATGTTTACACTAGAAATTTAAATTTTATCAATCATAATTAAAATAATCCTCTACAAAATAAAAATAATTAAGTAAAATTTTAAATAATTTTTTAGAAAACGCCAAGTTTAAATAGAGTATGCCCTACTCATAAGAATAAAAAAATGGAGGATAGGTTTGTGTAAAGATAAGAAAAATAAGAAAAATTGAATCAATAAATTGCAATTATGAGAAAGATTTACAACCAATAACTTAATGAAATTAATGAAAAATTAATCACAGAATTTTCTCTCCAAATAAATAAAACAGGTGAGATTTGTAAATTTAAATAAAACAACTATTTAAGAATTAAGCTAAGAAGAATTGTTTTCAAATATTAGCTATTTGATTCAATGTAATAAAGAAAATTTGGGTTAAGATTCCAAAATTGAGTTTGTGAAATCTAAGATATTTAAAGTATGAAAAATTCATATTCTTTTAGATGATAATCAAATTCAAGGGATTGTCTTATTATCATAATAACTTTAAGAAAACACAAAAGTAAATTAAGAGTAAATGATAGTAAAACAAAAGTTATTATCTATGAACTTATTTACTTTTCTCAAGACTCTACAAAGGTCAAAAATATAAATTGTTCCATTATATATTAGATAATAATTTGAATTCTTATCCTCAAAAGTCACTATATACAACACTTACATAAAATCTCTTAATTATGCAAGTAAGAATTTTAAAGATTAGGCTGTATCTTTCCTTACACATTAAGGATCTGATGCAGAGTATATTTTAAATAATTTTTATACTTGAATTCAATCAAAACTGTTACTTTATTAAATCACTTTAATGCTTTATTCCTTTACATTCTTGTAAATTACTTATGGTTTGTTTTCCACTTACTAGATACTTGCTGGTTGATCCCAGAATTTTACTCCTGGTTTTGCTTAACCTTATTACTTTTTATCAGCCATTATAATTTAATAACTGATTAATTCTTCTCAATTTAAGGGCAGGTGCCCTATTCATAATCTAGCAAAGATTGAGAGCATAAGTAATTGAAAAATCATAGCGGATTAATGAATAAGATATTGGAATTAATGATTTAGCTATTCAAATATAACTTCAATGTTAATCAATTCTATAAGCCAAAAAAATAATAATAAATAATTAATAGATACAAAAAGTTTATTCCAACTCTAAATATGATAAAATGAAAGAAAAACTTATTTTAATTTTGAATAAACAAAGCATTATCTATCATTCTAGCATCAATAACTGTATATATATAAGGAGTTATAATATTATTGTATTTTCTGAAGGGATCTGCATGCTTCCTGCAATTAAACTAAATAACCCTTTAACCTTGCTCTGAAAAGCTGAATTCTTTTCGTTAGTAAGAAGATTAATAAGAACTCCAAAAATCTCTATTTTATCGATAGTATTCAAAATTATATTCATTTTATTAATATTTATTTAGCCTATAATAAATATTATAATTCCACCCACTCATATAAAATTCTTGGAAGTTTCTTATCAATCTACAAACAGAGTCTATTCATTGTTCTCCTTTAATATAGATTCATATATTCAAATTAAGAAATATTAATAGTTTAGTTTTCTACCTATTCACATCAATATACCATATCAAAATATTTATACTTATTTCTTCTTTATATGGTCTACGATATATTTCCTGATTGCTATATCTTCTTCAAAAAATTTGTAACACTCTCATCTGATTACTACT